TCTTCTAGAGCCATGCGTTTGCTGTGTGACGATACGGTTCATTTAAAACGATAACTTCCTGCTGAACCTGCTTCACAATAAAAGCTTTTGATACCTTGGCCTGACGCGAGTATGCAGACTCCAATGTTGACCGGTTGACCCTCTGTTGCATTTCACAGAGTGTCAGTCTTTGAAAGAGCAGCAGAGGCAACAAGCTTTATTAGCTTGTCCAAAGCTCTCCGACATCGTTGTAGTCTGTTCAGAGTCTGGTGCTGACTTCACTGCCCGACATAGTACCCGCACCGTTCACCGGCTTCATCTTGCTAACGCTTAGCACAACCAATGCTATCAAGTATGGCAGGATACTTAGCTCAGCGTATCTGCAAATGCCAAATACCCAGAGTTCCTTTCATCCCAATGGTCTGGCCGATACCTGATCCAATAATGGCACCAATCCACCGAGTAAAATATGTGCATCCCAACAAAAATGCTCATCATGCGCACACAAATTTGAAGTTTAAAACAAGTATATCAGTGCTTTAAGAGGGTTCAAAATTCCGACATTGACCGTTACTGGCTTTAAATCTACAGGGGTTACATTAGCCATCAGTCCCATCCTTACATTACCCATAATGCATTGCTCTAATGAGAATTCACTGGGCCTCTGGGAATGTAATTGTGCCTTATGTTCTCTGATATACTCATCAGTGTTTTGAGGAGATCCTAATTACGTCTTACAGGGCAGGCCTGATTGCTGTTGGCAATCTAATCGAATCCTCACAGACTAATGAAACACCTAATAGTGTGTGTGTGTGTGTGTGTGTGTGTAAAATGGGATAGAGCCTCAGGATTTCAGACGCTGTGAAAAATGAAAGTCATATTAAAGTACGTAGTAAGTGATTAAATGCATAAACATGATTCATGATCACTGTAACAGAGAGGAAGTGAATCATGACGAGCGGGCCCTTTTTTTTTTTTTTTTTTTTTTTTTAATTACAGAGAAGATCGTAATGAAAGTTGGCAATTCAGACAAGGCACCTCAAGAGGGAAGGGACAGCACTTTTACAGTCGGGACATTGGTGCAGCAGCGGACTTGATGTATTATTGAAAGTCCTCTGGAGAGGGAGCGTGCATTTAAACTGATCAGTGATGCTTTTATTGGGACTCGTCCGTCGTAACCAAATATCTGAGACGGTTTCGGCTTTCATTGCTGGCAGTTTGTCGATTTGAAAGTGCCTCCTGTGAATCAAAGATATGTTTTGTAAAAGGACATAGCGAGCAGCTGTTCACTGTGAGTTTGACCGAAACCTTCACCTGAACTCAAGAGCACTTTTGCTGTGTGACAAAATGTGGTCAGAATTTAAAAGAGCGCTGTGCTGTCATTATTGCTGGGTGTTATTTCATCCTTTAATTATATATTTGTGCTTAGAAATGCAGAACGATTTTTTAAAGCACACCCAATACTGGAGGATAACATTTTTCTGTTTACACTCGTACGCTCTAGCAGTTACACCAACAACCTGTATTTATCTAAATCTCAGTGATTTGTCCACCATAGCTGTGAAGCTGAGTGGGAGCACGAGCACAATGGAGAAAAAGATCTGCTGGTACGAGTAAAAGAAGTGATGTTTATTTATTCAAAACACTTTCTGTAGCTTCTGTTGACAGTAAATGCTTCCCAATATTGCACACAGCTGTTATTAAGAATGTGACAGTGTTGAGTTATGGGCACTGGCATTAGCTTTTGTAGGAGAAGAAGTGGAACTGTCAATTTGAAAATGTTTGATGACACTTTTGTTTGTTGGATCCGTTTGACCTGGTGAACTACTCTGTAAACTTTAACATTTATAATGAAGGTTATCTCTTTAACAAGCCGATACCTGACAGCAGAGCATGTAGATGCTGTGGCCGGTACCTGCCATGGATTCTGCTCCATTTATATCTTAATTTGTTGTCTTTTTATCTGTATTACTGGAGCACAACCGGCACGTGACAGACTGCACTCGTCAACATTGGAAAAGGGAGCATTAGGATTGGGTGAAATGCGGTGGACCTTCAGACGATCAACGCCCACGGCAACTCCCGACCACCCAGTCGGATTGCCCCCCGGAAGAGAGCCCGAGACGGAAGCTAAGCTAACCCAGCTGGGACCTGAGGCTACTCAACTACCCAGCCTGCTCCTGGCTGTCTGATGTCAGGGTGCAGCAAGAATAACATGGCTGAAATAAGACTTCAGGCAAAGCCAGCAACCTGCTCACGGTGACTGTTGAGCCCACATCTTTGCAGAGACCTGACTCCATGTCGGCATCCCGGATCAAGCTGCACTTGACGGGCGGACAGAAGGACAGAGCGATGGACTCTGTGTTTACAGCAATGATGCTCGGTGCTCAGACAAAGTCAAAGTTCTTTCCTCCAAATACAGTAAAGAAATGCACTGCTGTGTTTTTATTGTCATGTTTTTCTTGTGAAGCATAAATGGACGAGGCTAAAACTAGATTTCGTGCAATCCTGTGTTGCAGAATGACAATAAATGATCCTGTAACCTTGAACCTCTTTGTGTGCAGCTGCTGGGATTTTAGGAGACGGATCAGTCAGTCTCATCACTCAAATGTGGAAGTGGCCAATGCTGGGAAACACTAACAGACAAACAGCCCCAGTACTTAGGACTCAAACTACTTATTTACATTTTCCGATTAATCTTTCAATTCATTTTCTTCTTGCGCCGCTAAACTAACATATTCATCGAATATCTTGTCAGTCCAAAACTATTCTCAAAGTTAAGTTTAACAGTACTTTATCTGGGATCAGACCCACCCGCTACACGATAGCTCCCTGCTATGCTACACTCATGCAGCTAAACGGAGTGTTAAGTGCTTCTACATCTCCTGGTCAACGAGAGTATTCGCTGCCATGTCATGTGGAGCGTTATAGAGCATGTGAAATAAAGTGTTGAGAAGCACGTTGTGGCTCTAAAGCAAGCAAATCAATAAAAGAAATCTATAAACAAATTACTTTTTATTGCACACACTTTAAAGAACCATAAAACGAGCATAAAGCAGACATGTAGCCTGGATGATTGTGATAATAATGCACTGTGCTCTTTGGCTTTCTCCTCAATAAGGAGCACACTTAGACAGACTATAAGAGTTGAAATATCTGTTATTGAACACAGGGTACCCCCGCCCCGTAATATTTACTTGTGAACATGTTTACTAATGTACATATCAACCATTTTTTTAAAACAACTTGACGGCGTCAACAACCAATCGAGCAAACACGAGCGGAGCAGCGGGAGGATATCAATCACTTCAGAAACCACTGGAGGATATGAATATTTCATGGGGGGAAAAGTAACACATTAGTTTGATATAGGCTTGGCTGCCTTTTGGAATAAATCCCCGGTGTGACGCTGAACGCACAAACCACATCCACACCGTCTCACACACACACAGGCTAAGACTTTGATCCAAAGCCTCTTACAGGCCCACAGATTCACCCCAAAATCAGAGCCCACAGATCCTCCTCTTAACTCACAATGCAAGACAGCGTCATTAGCAGCGAGGATCAAAGACACCGGCAACCACACCAGTGTGTCCGTGACATAAGAGCTTCACATCCAGGGGACACAAGTTGACAAGCGTTGGATGGAGTTGGTGCTAGTTAGGGCGAATTCACATGACTTGTGCTCTTTTATTTTCGTTCTTTTTAAAAGGTGAGAGTCAACGTGGAGGTTCTGGCTGCTGCGTGCGATTCAAAAATGTCTCCCAACAACTATGGACAGCACAGCCTTGGCTTCATGTGCCCGGAAAGTGAAACCACATCACTTTGCTTAAGCAATCCACTACACTTCCTGCTCAAAAAAAAAAGAAATATTCCTGAGGGGACTTCTGCTGTGTCCGTGACCTTATCATACTCTATGGTAGTTTTCATTTCTTATGACGCCACTATAATGCTGAAATAGGGACTTGCTGTAATGATTATCCAATATCCTCTCCAAATTCAATTTAGTCCACTTAATGGAGTGCAAATTGGATGATAAATATTGCATTCTTTAATGTCTGCTTTGTACGTACATTTGTGATTCAAAGGTTAAAAATAAAGAGCAATTCTCTCTCCCTCAAGACAGAACTCAAACCTTTACACTAAAACTATCCCCAAAGGTTTCCGTCCACATACAGCATCACCGTTACCATCGTCGTTTGGTCACGATGCGTCAGAAAATAGTGAAAAGTGTCCATAACTACTTTCCAGAAATCAAGCATGTATTCAAACTTCTTGTTTTGACTGATCAACAGTCCCAAACCCCAAAAATATTCAGTTTACCATCATAGATAATGAAGAAAATCTGCAGCTGTCGACATTTTGTGGAGATGAAACTAGATCATTTATCACTGTTGCTTTAAAGAAATGACACAAACGACTAATAAACCAAATTCTAAATGATTACTGATTAACTTTCTGTGGATCGACTAACTGTTTCCATATACAGAAATAATACAATATACACAATAAAATATATGATTGTAAAATATGAGCTGAACTTATTTTTGTGTGTGCATGTGAAGCAGACTTAGTTTGGTATTACAGTACAGCATCAGTGTGGTAATATATATGTGTAATACCTGTATTACTTACATACTTGTGTGCAGGACTGGAGTGTGTATTTTCTGACTGCCCCAAATGTAACACACCCCCTAAAAAGCTCCACCACACAGGAACCAGAGCCGACCAGCACAACCAAAACACGCCTAAAACACCTCTTTACAACAACGACTGCTTAGAGAATATACATGTTTGGGGTGCAGAAGACTTTTAACAACACAAAAAGTACATTTTCTCCACATGGTTTGTTTTTAGCATCGAGCATTGGGGAGGCTATCAGTTTTTTTGGGAGACAATAGCCCTGCTGTCAAAACACAAAAAGCGTGTGAAAAAGCAAAGGGTTTTCAAAAATGTCCGAAAAACGAAATGTTGTAATGTTGGTGTGAAAGCGTAAAAGAAAAAAAAGAAAAAAGCCTCACCTTGTTTGACACACTTGAGTCGGACCGGGTCTTTGCTGTGTTTGACCACGGCGTGCACGTCCCTGGTGGTGAGTCCGGCCACCGGGGTGTCGTTGACTTCCAGCAGGAGTTCATCCTGGAAGAGTTTGCCGCTGTGGCACGCCGCTGCGTCCGGGAGAAGCGCGCCGATAACCGGGAACTGTCCGTTCTCCGCGCCGCCCTTCAACTCGAGCCCCAGCTCCCCCTCCTCATTCCTGCAAAGGACACTCTCGTGGACTTTGTTAGTCCAGTGGTTCTTCCTCTTCTTCAGGCTCTTGGACATGGCTCAAAATCACATGAGTGCGGCCGTGGAAGAAGTTTTGACCGCTCCTTTGAAGTCCCCCCAGTGTCACCGCAACACTGTGTCCAGTTTTCAACACCCAACGCCAGTTGTATCCATGTCAGCGCGCACACACTCACACGCACAGCAGCTGGATCATCAGTCTGCCTTCGCGTTAACTGGGAGCTGCTCAACTTGTGGCACCTTCACGTGATGTCTCAAAGATCGGTATTGACAGCTCCGCTGTTCAAAAAGCGACCGAGCGAAGAAGTAAACATAATTGAGGGGGATTTATGCGATACCTTGAGCGGACACTGGCAGACTGATTGGTTGGAGAAAGCATGGAAGCCACTCAACAATTACAGTTTAAATATTATATTTTTAAAAGTATTTGTGACATGTTAACTTACCTTCACCTGGAGGGACATGGAGTCTCAACTGTCCGTGTGTGTCAATAATATATCATTAAAGTAATTTCAGCGTAATAAAAGCAACTTTGTTAACAAATTAAGTCACTTTTTATGACTATATGCACATAACAAGCTTTTCCAATAACCTGCTATCACCTGCAGACATTGAATCACATTAGAAAAGCACATTTTACTAATTTGTTTTTGCAGCTCTACTGATTTAAATGTCTTTCTGTATGTGCATAGCCAGAACTGTTCACTTAACTACATAAACAAATCAAGTGATCAATACACATTTACATTATCCTTCATTTTATACATTCTGCTGCATCACACATTGTTCTTCTGTGTCAGTCAATTTCTAAAAAAAGGTAACAAATGTATTCAAATGCATCAAAAGATGTGTTTACAACTTCAAAACTTTAAAGTTTCCCAGTTTACGAGGGACACCTGAAGGCAACATCCAGCTCCAACCAACCCAACTGACCCGGATGTGAAGGCTGGAGGAGGAGGAGGAGGTAAGAGGCAAGGCTTTTTTTTATTTTCTCCCCAAATCCAGCTTTCCATGGGAAAAAAAAGAGAAAGGAAAAGAGAGAGAGAGGCAGATTAGTGGTATTTCCACTGGCATGGCAGCAGCAGAGCAGCAATAATATGGTTTCTTCTTTTTCATACCACAAATATGTCTCTTCCTTTTGACATTTTCTTACAGACACTTCAAATGCTGCAGATTGTAAGCCTCAGAAAGTTAGATCAACTGACTCAACTCAAATTGCTATTTTCCAGCCGCACTGTCATTACTTTCCCCTCGAAAGTGGGACTACATTAATTACAGTCTATTTCTTTTCAGACGAGGGGTCACCTGATTCAAAGACCACAGAAGTCTTTCAAACATATTTTCAGTCTGGTTTTTCAGGTGAACTCGACAGAATGAGATTTAATTTCCTTGAACAACCTCGAGGAATTTCAAGGGCAGCAAAGACTTTCTCAGCTTCTTGTCAATAATGATATTCAGATTTCAGAAGCATGATTTTGTTCCACAGCCTTTGTGATATCACCCAGTCTGTTCACTGGAATAAGTTTTGTCATCCGCCAGAAGAAAAATGGCTCGAAAAAGGGAAAACCCACCTTGTGTTTACATCAAAACTCCATTTTCATACAAATGTGGGTATTTTCCTTCCCCGGGGTGACATCTTTAAATCAGCTTTGTGAACATCTCTTCTTCTTTAGTAACCGAGCTCATGTTCGGTAATGATAGTTTGCTGCTTTGCTGCCATAATTGTATAGATATACGATGATAATAGCTATTCTACGCTGCCGAGTTATCTGTCGTGGCGAGTTAATCCCTTTTGAGCCTCAAAATCGTGTTTTTCTCATAACAAGGGAAGAAATTCCGGTAATGACTTGAGATAAGTGCTCTCCTTTCACACACAAAGTGTGATCAAGTGTAATTCATTCTGCCCGTGTTCAACAGTGCTTCTAGAAAACACCCAAACCTGTGTAAACAGTGCTCAGATTATTGTTTTTTTCATATTAATGTGCGATTTCAAAGCCATCGCATATAAAAAATGTAGCGGAGAGATACGGATCACACCTCAATACGTAGTAGGAGTACAATTTACTTTCCCAGAGCTTTCATCCACATCTCATGGCCTTCATGAGCACACAGATCATGTGATAGTCAGACAGGCACCTGAGCAAAATCTAGTGGAGCTTCAGTCACATATTAACGGTTGAAAGAAGTAAGTAAGTGGACATTGAGTTAGAAATATTTTGTAAAACTTCTGTGTGAAATACTGTACACACTCATCTCTTATGGAAATAGTTTTTCAGCTGGAGCCAGCTGGAGATGGTTAGCTTAGCTTAGCATAACCAAAACTGTAAAAACAACAATTTGTGGTTTATGGATTAAACCTTTTTTTCTGTCTTTTGGATAAAGCCTAACTTCATATTTCCTACAGACGATCTAAGTCTCAGCAACGAAGTGAAGATTTCTCAAAATATTTCTCAAAATGTCAAACTATTTCTTTAACTTTAATCAGTGCAACAGTACAGGAATCAGCCCCTCACACAACCAGCATGTGCAGCAATTCAACAGTAGAATGTAAAATCCCCAAATTCCAAGAGAAAAGACGGCGTCCTCAATTGTGGATTTATTTAATCGCCTCAAAACAAAGGAAGAAAAAAAAACACAGATATCAAAACGACAGAGCTGCAATTTATCCTCAAAACAATGTTGCTGCCCTTGAGTCGTGACGACAATAAAGAGACAGACAATGCATCACTGTCTCCTCCGCCGGGGGTTTTTTTGGCACACAAAAAAAAGAGCCTCTGCATTCCAGAGGTGGGAGCACCGCGCACTCGAGAGTGAAAAAAAAAAATCAAATGAGGGGAAAAAGAAAGTGAAAGACGAGGGGAGTATTTTAACAAAGGGCAGGAGTTCTGGAGGCAGTGTTTGAACGAGGAGAGGAATGCTCTGCGCGTGGCAGAATAAGTGGCGGGGAGGAGGAAGAGGAACGTTCGACAGTGGAGGGACTGGAAAAACAGAGTGGGATTAAACGAGCCTAGCGTGGGCCGACGAGAATACCACCATTAAACATAATGTCGGTGCTTGGAGAACAACATTTGTCACAATTCCTGTTCATATAATTACAACTTCCTCCTGGAAATGTACACACACACACACACACACACACACACAGAGGGCAGCCCCAGCTCCTTTTCTGCAGATTCACATTTGCAGGAAATGACACTTGTTCGGCCATCAGTCACATCCACTCGGCCAGATGGGAGTTCATTGGCTCGGCCTCCTGGGATTGCGACACCGCTCCGCTACATGGTGTAATGGTGCAATGTGCTACAATGTGACAGGCCTCATCGAAAGCGATAATTAAAGCCGGGTTCAGGAATGAAGTGAAATTGCCCGACGATGGCATCCACCCGCCCATGAAAGAGGGAGTCATTGTCCACTTTGTTTGATGTGAACGTGGCCCGTTTCAGAGCCATTGTTGGGGATTTGGCTGCTTGTTTTAACAGCGTGGCATTTGATACGCAGGGGGGCTGAAATATCGAAGAGAAGCCGCCAGCGTGGTCAGTTTGTCTTATTCGGCCGTCTGACCGGTTCGTTTCCCGCCGCCATCTGCTCGACCTTGCAGCGCGGGAGAGGTTCAGTCCGTCGCTCTGCTTTTTCTCTGGCCTTGCTGGAACTGGCAGAGAAAGGTTGGGCACACTGTAGGCTACAGTGTGGAGGCAGAAGAGAGTAGGTTGGAAAAAGAACCCTTTTTGTTCATTTTGCTGGCTGTTTGTCATGGTTGGGGCTTAGTTCCAATCTTAATGCTACAGCACACGCTGGCGTTTTCGACGGTCTTGCACGAAAGCCAGGTCCATAAAGATGTCGTTTTCAGAGTTTGGTGAGGAAGAACTTGACCGGCCTGCACGATTTCAACCTACTGCTAAGCCTTTAACCAATAACACATGGGTGTAACCATCGGGTGTCCACATACTTTTCACCTTGTTTTTTTATTCCTCTCTTTTCATTTTCTGCTAATTTCTTTTCTTAACTCATAAGCTATGTATATGACCTTGAAAGTCTGTTTCTTGTAATCATTTTTGTCTCAAAAGAAGAAGACCCAATTAAACTTTAATCAGCTTTGAGTCGATAAAACGAGACTATGTAACTTTTAAAAGAAGAAATATCAAATTTCTTTTCTTACCGGTGAAAAGTTTAATCTAAACGCGATAAAACAACCGCGCTTAATTCAATTCACGTATTTTGATGATGTCGTTTATGGAAGCTAACGTTAAATAGGCTACAAGCGAGTAATAAAATCTGCCAGAGCAATAAATAATTCATCTTTTTTCCTGTTGAAATGTAGCTTTTTCCACAGCCATTCCTGACACGTTACACCGCAACAGTGTAAGTGCTTTTATCACATTATTGGAATTTGCACTTGGATCAACACAATTAAAAGTCAAAGAAAATGGTCTCCAGTCACCATTTTTTGAAAATCTGTACAGTATGAACACCCACCGTGGATTACGACACAAAGGAGAGTGGCGTACATACCCTTCCTGTCTGATGTTAAGAGCCCCGCCTCTTAATAAAGCGCAAAGCCTCTGGGGAGTGACAATAAGAGCCTCCTGCTGCTGTCTGTCCACAGATGAATTATTCTGTGTCACACAGTCCATCAAAGAATCTCGGGGTGAAACTCTGTCCCCCAGGTCTGATTTGATTGCCCTCTGCATGATTATAATCATGTTTTACCTTCAGTTCTGACCACTTGTGATTGTCTTCCCTTTGCCGTCTGATTATTTAAAATCTATGTCGTTGTTACGCTCACAGCGAATGATTTAGGCAGCATTCTGGAGTAGTCTCAATCTGGCTCCCAGGAAACCACCTCCCCCCCCCCCCCCCCTACCACCCTATCAGCACAGACAGATAAGTACCTTTTCCCACGGCGAAGCCTTTTAACTACCTCGAAGCCTGGAAAGACTCTCCACTCGCTCCTGCGAAAGCCAGACTGTGCCCCCCCCCCTCGCTGGGGGACAGTTACATTCGCACTATCGCAGTCATCTGTCTCCTCCAGTCGGTCTTCGTAGGGCGCCTCATCCATCAGAGGGGGGTGCGATGACACCATTGCCATGCAATCAACAGCGTGACAGCTTGATAGACTTTCACGAGCCGCCTCTCATATCCCGTCACAAAGCACATCGGACAAACCAGCAGAGACAGGTCATCAAAGAAGAAGATGGTTGATTTTCAGTCCGTTAGAGATTA